ACCTCCTACAATTAAGTACAACAGAGACAAAATCCTGGATCTCGATGCATTGAATTTCTTGTTCCTTAAGTACCTTTCTTCTATTGTTTCTGTGGCTACATCATTGACCAACAGTAGGTGGAGCACCTTTGAGATCTTATTCTTTATTCTCTATTTCTTATTCTCCTGATGGCATAATTCCTTCATCTCTGCCTTATCTTTGTTCTGACCAATTTTTGTCTAGATCACATTTTTTCATGTTTGTACATATTTCTCTAAGTTGAATTAGAGAAGATCAACCAACACTACAAGACTTTTTCTAGCGGAGAAGTATTCAAAACTCCCATGCCTTACGTTTGCTGGTGAAATATAAATAATTGAAATCATCTACCTAGCACTCACTTGCCTGTACTAGACTTGAAAAAAATGACTAGTGAATAACCTCCAGCTAGTGTGTAATTATCTTTGAATGATGTGTACTTATGTAGCTTACAGTACTTTTTAATTCATGGGTGCATTCTCTGATGTCCATTCCATATCATATTCCATTTCTAACATGCTTCTCTGATGTGTATCTTACCAAAGCATGCTATTTTTCATTACATTCTCTGCTTGTGCACATTGTTTCTTTAAGCCAAACTTATTTATTTATTATTTATTATTTATTTATTTATTTATTTATTTATTTATTTATTCAGAACCAGGGATTGAAACCAGGCCCTTGCTCTTGCCAGGCAAGAGCTCATTCTACTGAGCTGTCTCCCTGGCCTCAACAACTACTCTTAAATAGTGCTTTTGTCTCAAACTTCTCAGGGGGATAAAATTTTCAGCTTCAAACTCTTTTAAGAAATCTACAAATTTGCCTCTGGTGCCCATTGCCTTCTATCAGCAGTCAACTAATGGAATTTTTCCTTTATTTTTCCTTCTGTAACATTAGTCTACCTTATTGAATACTCTTCTCATTTTGTCTTGTTGAATTTTTAGTGTTTTCCCCCCAGATTTTGGATTTAGACCTGTCCTGCTATACACCTCATAATCTGCTGTTCCACAGCTATATTCTCTGTGAGATCTTGTTGAGGTCCATGGGCTTAGAGGTTATCTACAGAGTGAAACCTCACAGCTACAAATCTCCAAAGCCCAACTCTGTTCTGAATTCCAAACTTATGCATTTTACTGCTAATTCCTATTGCCACTTAAAATACCTAATGGGCATGTACAATTTGGTCTACAACATATAATGCAGGCCGGCCAAATAGCTCAGTGGATTAAAGAGCCTGTAAGCAGGCTGAGGGGCCGGGGTTTGATCCCCGAGCCTGCAGTGCTGGCCTCACCCCTGTGACGCGCTGAGATGGCAATTGAGACTGGGTGTGGTGGTGCTTGCCTGTAATCCTAGCTCTTGGGAGGCTGTAAACAGGCAGCTCTGTATGAGTCCGATCTAGTAGTGAGACCCTGAACACTCTGTAGACCCTTTCCTAAAAAAAAAAAAAAAAAAAAAAAGGTATATTGCTATTTCCACACACACAATCTCTGCTGCTAAGTTTTCCTTTTTTCTATTGTCCATTTCATCTAATGTCATTCATATTCCCTAGTACTTAGGCTCAGTTCACCTCACTCTCCATTTCTCTCTCCCTTGAAATGTGCAGTAAGTTGCGTTGCCTTTCTCACCAAATATCTCCTATCTCCCTGCCATCTGAGTTCAGGAAACATCATTTGTTAGTGTCTAAAGCCATTGTTCAGCAGAATTAACTGATTACCTCTTTTGTTCTCTTTTTCTTCTATAATATCTTGTCTATTCAATGCTAGAAATATATTCATTTCCATTCCAATTTGCTGTTTTGATGTGTGAGATGTCCTGCATTTAGAAGTGACACTGGCACATATCCTTGTGTATCACAGGAACAAAAAATAGCTGGAAAATATGTCACAGGGTTCTGTAATTAGCTTCTTTAGCAAAAATGCAAAGAGATACACAGCCACCTTGTTAGATTCCTCAGGCTTTTACAAGAATATGGGAGGGTACTCTGAATTTCTCCAGCGGACTCGACTTTCACTGATGGGTGGAAATCAGTAGGTTTGGGTTTAATCTGAGTTTTCTAGGACTGTTTGGTGCATTCTGGAAAAGAGGGCTAGAGGCACAGAGGATGCTTTAGATGAGGGCAGGCTACTCCACTTCACTTACAGCCTGCCTTCTTTTCTCTGCCCTGCATTGGCCTCACTTACACTTGGTGTATTTGCACGTGCATGATGCTAAAAAAATTGTATTCTTCTTATTCATTTGTTTTAGGCTTAGAAAGTAAGTATTTCCTTTTTATTTCACTGAAAACTATTTCTTTTGTACCTACAAAAGCACATAATAATAAAAAAGGACATGTCCATCATAGCACATTTCCACTAATCCAGACACATTCCTGTGACATGAATAGGATCATTAAATGAGAAAGATCATTTTATACATCCTCTATTTTTGTGCAAAAATGTCCCAACTTATACAGTCACTCCTTGGTCCATGAATTTAATTTGTCCTACAAGTTTGTAAAAGATGGCTACATGGTGTGTGTGTGTGTGTGTGTGTGTGTGTGTGTGTGTGTGTGTGTGTGAAAAATGACTGAAGGCATGTTTGGCACTTAGTGTAGTTTGCAGACAAAAACAAAGGTTTTTCAAACACTTCCGTTTGAGACAAAATTATTTGCAAACCAACAGCCTCAGGAAGGAAGGAACAGCTCATTACCCATTAAAGGAACAGCTTTATGCTGTTTTATTTGTCTTTATAGTATCGGAATTATATCATACATAATATTTCTAAATTGTCGATAAACAATCTTGAGATATTTTTGAACATGTGCCACTCTTGCTGTTAATTGTATTGGCTGCCAATAGTTATATTATCAGATGATAAAATGTAGATTGGAATACAAATTGTAATATTTCTTTCTAGGACTGGTAATTTTCAATTGACTTCTCATTTCTTTACATAAAACATCCTATTTTCTATGATTTGTCTATTAAGGTCAAGTACATTGTGTTGTTTAAAAATCAGCAAAGTTTCATAGTCTACACTATTCATTCTAAGATATTTGAAGTCTAAGATAAGTATAACAGATTTCACTGACCCCAGTTCAAACCTATGGAAGCATCAAAACTTCAGACTTGGAGAGTTTTGCATTTCTTTCTTTTCTTTCATCTTTCTTTTGCATTTAAACATGTTTCAACTTCCTTTCAGCATTCTTTTTCTTCTGTCCATCACACACACACTGTCTCTCTGTCTGTCTCTCTTTCTTTATCTCATCCATCATTAGGTTTTTTAATGTGGTATTATGAATGGGATCCAGAATCAATTGGAGAGGATATGGTGATAAATATTTCAAAGGCAGCTCTTTATCTCTTTCTTGCCTCCTTCTGTCCTCCTTTGTCTTCGCCCTGTGTAGGCTGAAGGGATATTCAACTACAAGACCACAGCTTGGTTATATATTCGTCCAGTAAGAAACTATTCCCTGAGTGGTAGTGAGGTCTCCAGTCCTGAGAGTGAGTATGCATCCAACAGAAATCCTTATCACTGGGATCAGAGGTGATCTAGCATCATTGACA